ATTATGAAATTTAGTTAAAAAGACACATGCCTGAGGACCCTAGCTACTTAGCTATGGGTGTTTTCTGTTCTGCATTCTAAAGAGCTTGGTGCCTGGGGCAGAGTCTGGAAATGAAAGCCTAATCTAGCTCTGACTTTTGAGAGGAATGGACAGGTCTATCATTAAGGGAAAGGAAAGTTTTTTTTCTCCTTTAGTTTTCCGACCACATGTATTCCCTAGATGTGTTCCTCTACATGAGTCCACTCTTCCTAATTTTGTTTTGTTTTTGTGAGAGAATGTGGCCAAGGTTTGTAGAGAAAATACGTTGTTGCTATTTTATCTTATTATGTTATTTTATTAAATTTCTTTTCTTCAAACTAATCACATCCTCTGGTTAAGTAATAGAGGTAACACGTTGGTGGGGGCCCAGAGCTATGGTTTTGAGTGGACTTGGAAGCACAGAATACCTTGATCCCTAGGGTAGGTTTATTTGAGGGGCATACTTTCTGAGTTGAGAAGTGATCCAGACACAACAATTGTATATTAGAGTTATATGTTAGCATCTTACCCCTCATTATATTGTAATTTTCAGGTCATATATGATTTTTGTGTCTTCATCAGTCATTTCAGTCAAATCCAACTTTTTGTGACATCATTTGGGGTTTTCTTGGCAGAGATACTGGAGTGGTTTACCATTTACTTCTCTAGCTCATTTTACAGATGAGGAAACTAAGGTAAACAGGGTTAAGTGACTTGCCCAGGGCCATACAGCTAGTAAGCATCCGAGTTTGGATTTGAACTCAAGTCTTCCTGACTCCAGGCCTGGTACTCTATCCACTGTGCCACCTACCTGCCTATTAATAGCACATGGCAGGTATTTAACAAATATTTGTTTAAGTGAATTGTATTGTCAATCAGTTAACAAACATTTTATTAAGCACTTCTATATGACAGGCACTGAGCTAAGTTCTAGGGATGCAAAGAAAGGGAAAAAAAATCTCTGCCTTCTAATAGTAGTGACATAAATAAATAGGTACATCCAAGTTATATACAGAATAGATAGAAAGTAACCTCAGAGGGGAAGGTGTTGAATAGAGACAGATAGAGAGAATATTTATTATGTATTTAGTATGTGCCAGGCACTGTGCTACAAATATAAGCAAATAAGATCGTCCCTGTCCTCTCAAAGCTTTTATTCTATGGGAAAAGACAATATATAAAGGGGTGCTGGAATTTAGGGGAGGGAAGGTTACCAAGGGTGGGCAAGGGTGCTGGCAAGGAGGCGGAGGACTATGGATCGTGAGTTGAGGCCAGAGTGAAGTGAAAATGGTTTGAGCGTCTCATGAAAGAGTGGTCCAGGCTAGGTACTCACAAATCACGAGATTGGATCTTAAGGAGGAGGGCTCTCCAGAATGGAAGGGCTATTGGGGAGTAGGTGGAAGAGTCCAGAAAGTGGATTAAGGAAGGACGCCCCACCTTTAGGGAACCTGCTTTGTATCAGTTCCGTGATCAGAAAGGCTCCAAGAAATGCCAGAATGCAAGGACCCATTTGGAGTGGCGACCTTACAACACCAGGGAGAGGAAGACTGGGCTCCAGAAGCTTGGGACAATTATACCCGCCTTGAACAAAAGTACCATTATTCATAGTCCCAGAGAGGTTAAAAGATTTAAAGGAAGGAATAGAGTGCAGTCAGGATTCAAGCCTGGGCTTCCTTCTCTGCTGATTCAGAGGGTTAATAATATCTAATGGGGATAGAAGACAAAGCCTTCGACCCAAGTCCGAGAGGCAGACTTTGGCAAGGTTCAAAACCCAGGTCCTCTTTTCTGTCCACCATGGGGCACCAGTGCACTGTTAGGAAGGGCCATAAGGGAGAAGCTGGGCAGTCCATGATGCATCTGGGCAGAGGAGCAGAGACCTCAGAGGCCCTTTGGTAAGTCCACTTGTCACATTCCAGAAGCTTAGAGGATTCCGAGCTCCAGGCTTAGAATAAGCCAGGAGAGACTGGCATCCATCCTGGGCATTTCCTCCTCTTTTCTACTCTGACTGACTGCTGTGCTCTCTCCCTTTTAATCTCTTCCATCTGGCACCTTTGGGACCTCAGGTATGGCTCAGGGATTATTGCCCTCAGTTATAATCACTCAGAGTTTGGATAAAAGTATAAAGAAATACCTCACCAGGAAGGCAAACAGTTACAGCCGAACCCCAGATGATTCTGTCTGAGTTTTTTCTTACTCTCCATATCCCAGAAATTTTGGGGTGATAGTACTCCTCCCTCTACCACTTTTGCTAGTCCTTTTTTGGCCTCTGGAACATGTAGATTCCCTCAGTTTCCCAGCCTTGATGCTGACAAGCTCCTCATTCCTTTTAATGCACCAGAAACATAGGTGCTTTTTTCCAAAAAGGATTCAATAGCAACTAAGAAGGAAAGATATTTTCCTCTTTTGTTTAGTTTAAAACGCTCCAAAACCTTATCCTTAGACATACAGAGGACTGAAAGCTGGAATGGGACTTGGGCACCATCTAGTTTAACCCTCTCATTTTCAATCAGTCCAAAAAGGAAAGCAAAATCCAAAGAAATGAAATGATTTTATTCAAGGTTATGGAGATCTTAGAGGTAGTCTGATCCAATCCCCTTATTTTGTAAATAAGGAGACCAAGGCCCAGAGAAATTCTTGCTCAAAGTCACAAGGACATCAAGCAGTAGAAGTGGAATTTGAACTCAGGTCCTCAGATTTCCAGAACCAGTGTTTTTCCCACTACTCCATACTGCCAGTCACCACGTTCCCAAGAGGCACAGGAGGAGAGCGATCCACTTTCTTTGGTGATTTCAAAGTTCTTACCCACTCTTGAATGCTATTGTACTTGCCACCAAGTGATGGCTTCTGGGAATCATTTGTTTTAAGCCTGTTTACAGAACTAAGCCTGAATGAGTCCTTGGAACATTTCACACATGCTCCTCCTGTGCTGCTGCCTGCTTCTTCCATCCATTACCCTATTCCAGGGAAAAGCACCCATGACTTATCATTTTATGATGCCAGAAAACTTTGTGTGGGACAACAATAAGCTAAAAAGTATTAATTAGATATAATACAATATGCATATACATAATAATATAACAAATATTGTTATTACTACTATAATGAAAGTTTCATTAACATCTTCTACTTTTACAAAATAATTGTTATCAAATATATATTTACCTCCCCTCACTGCTTCCCTCACACATACATTCTGGAAATGGTCTTCTTTTGTTACAAAGGATAGCCATTTGGGGTATTTTTTGGTGATATTTTCCCTGCTCCTTACTGCAGGGCTTGACACATATGAAATGCTTGCATATTGATGAAGCAAAACCAAGTTTTTGTTTGTCACTGGGTTTTGCTGTTGTTTTCCATCCAGTGACATGCCTAACAGCATAGGCAACACTTTACACTCATAGTTCTCACCTTTCCAAGGAAAGATGGGAGGTCCAATTCTTCATCTCTTCTCTGAGGCCAAGATCAGAACCATAAAACTTCCCTTAAACATGTTTTTTGAAATTATTGAAGTATTTTGTTTTTATATTGCCTTAATTTCTGAGCATATCTCTTCCCCTCGATAGAGTTGTCCCTTACAACAAAGAATAAATAAGAAATGGGAAAATAAAGTAGTTAAGCAAAAGTGAAGAACCAAGACTGATCATACACACAATGTTCCACAAATGCAATTCTTCCTTAATTCTTTTTAGGGCAAAGATGAAAATCATACAATTCTCACTAACAGAAATGGAGGAGATATAGCATTACATGGAGAAGGTTCAGCACACAAGAGTACTTCATTGGATGGAGCAAGTGTCAAAATACCTACTGAACATCCCTTCTTTCCATAGCTTAGAGAAGTTGTTACAGGGAAAGAAAAGACACAGAAGATGTGGTTTTTACTTAGAGCGCAATAGGGGAGAGAAAATTGACGTGCATTGAGAGAGATAACTAAAAACCACAGGTGGAGTATACTAAGGGCCAAACAAAAGATAGTAACAATAACTGGTCTTTTAGAAAGTACTTTCCTTTCAATAGCCCCATAAAGTCAGGCATGCAAGTATGATTATGCCCACTTTACAGATGAATAAACTGAGGCCAAGAGAGGTGAAAGGAAATCATCCTAAGTGGTCATGGTCATTCAGGTAGTACCTGGGCTTCAAACCTGGCAAGTAAGGCAGTCTTTCTACCGTTCCTCCTGTCCCCTAAGGGACAGGTAGGTGGTATAGTGGATAGAGCTCCAGGCCTAGAGGCAGGAAGACTCATCTTCCTGAGTTCAAATTTGGCCTCAGACACTTACTACCTGTATGATCCAGAACAAGTCACTTAACCCTAGTTGCCTCAGTTTCCTCATCTGTAAAATGAGCTGGAGAAGGAAATGTCAAACCACTCCAGTATCTTTGCCAAGAAAATCTCAAGTCAGATCATGAAGAGTCAAACACAATTGAAACAACTTAACAACAACCTGTTTCTTATGGTACAGTCAATCTAATAAGAGATCAAAAAATCAGATTTAGAGCTGGGATGAACCTGAGAAGACATCTAGCCTAATCTCTTCATTCGACAGATGAAGAAACCAAATCCCAGAGAGGTGAAGTTATTTGCCTAGAATCACTCAACTAGCAATTGTTCAGAGACAGGATCTGAACCTTCATCTTCTACCCTGGAGCCAGTGTTCTTCCATCTGTACCATGTAGAGTGAAAGAATGTCATGGATCACAGTGGGGAGGGCAGGCTTCATGGAGAAGATGGGACTTGAACATTTGTGTAGGATGCACCAGTTGCCTAAGTTGGGAGCCATTTTTCTCCTCCATTTGCTACAAGAGTTTGAGTGTGGAGAACTTACAGCTGTTCTTTTCCCTGAGAAGATGCTGCTGATGAATTATTGTGGGTCCTACAGACTGGAATTCCCAGGACCATTGCCATGTCTGAAATGCACCAGATTCCACTCAATGCTGGAAACCACAAGCCAGAGATGATTGACTGTGACTTGAAGCATGCCACCTCAATCCCCAGTTAGAAAACCTTCACAACATGTTTGTAACAAGCTACCGAGATTCAAGAAGACCAAAGCCAAACATGCCTAAAGAGAAAACAAAAGTATTAAAATAGGCCAAGACTTAGGAGTAGAAAAATCTCCAGTCTTGGAAGAGAGGAGAGGGGAGGGGAGGGGAGGGGAGGGGAGGGAGGGGAGGGGAGGGAGGGGAGGGGAGGGGAGGGGAGGGGAGGGGAGTGGAGGGGAGGAGGGAGGGGAGGGGAGGGGGAGGGGAGGGGAGGAGAGGAGAGGAGTTCAAATCCCATCATGGTTCTAGGGATAGCTTTCATTTAAAGAGATTCTTTTGCATTGGGCCTCTGGTAAGTTTCTAGACACATAAGACTCGCAATTAGCCACACCTAAGAAGAATTCGTGCACTTAACCAAGGCATCACCTAGTGGCAGCTTCCCCTAATTACAAGCAAAAGCACCCAAGAGGAGATAAAGAAGCACCATTGATGTTCAAAATCCAGATTCTTAAAGTGACAGCAAATATTACATCAACTGTTGATTACTTATTAAAGAAAAACACAATCTTTCTCATTAGGGCAAAAGAAGTTAACTATGAAAACCATCATATGTGTCTTACACTTACCTTTTGTTAAATACAATTTAACACTCCGAGAGTTGAAGCAGGGAATTCAGAACTCTACGAGGAAAAGAAGTTTATTAGCAGAAGAACAGGGGTTGGTTTCATTGGGCACAATGGAAACCTAGGGAAGAGTGGGTACATTGGAGGGATGGCACTGCTATGGATGGATGTGAAGGAGCAGGGAATTAGGGTTAGTGGCCAGGAAATGAGGCTTCGATTTAGGCAGCCCGTGACTCAGAATCATAGGGATTTCCAGTGGCACCATATGGCCCTGTTGCCACACCCTTCCTTCACAGAAGCCTGATGATTAACAGGCTGGTAAATAGTCAATAAACATTTATTAAATGCCTACTAAGTGCCAGGTACTGTGCTAAGTGCTGGGGGTACAAATGAGAAAAAGAAAGACAGTCCCTGATGTCAAGGAGCTTACAATCAGAATGAGGTAAGATAATACACAAAAGGAAGCTGAAAGGTGAGGGGCAGGGTGGCCACCCTGGAGCAAGGGGGAGCGAAGGCTGTGGAAACCAAGCGGAGGAGCTGATGGGAAATGAAGTTAGCTGGAAAATTCTGAGCCTTTTATAAAGGAAGGTTTGGGGAAGAGTTTGTTGCTCTGCCCTCCAATCAGAAGGGAGAGGCAACTAAGGGTCCTGTGAAGGTGTTGAGGGCCAATTGATAATGAGCCTCTCTTCTTCCGACTTTGGTCAATAAACATCCAGTCCATCACCAAGGCCACACTCAAAGCCTTTCTAGCTTAGTAGGACCTACTAGAGATTATGCTCAGCTGGTCTTTAAGAACCAAGCTCTGTAAGGTATCAGGGCAGGACTGTATACCTTCTTCCCTCTTCCTTAATCATTATGTTGCAAACAGCCTGGAGAGGCTGTGTGTCTCTAGGCAAGACTCATCCTTCATCTCCTCTCCCAATTATTTTCATCTTCTAGTTTTAAAAAACTTTTTAAAAAATGTCCATAGTCTTCCCGAGTAACTCTCTCCAATGTGTAATAGCCAAAATTATATTCTTAAGTAGCTGTATGGTGCTGTTTTTCCTTATGGCCCAACTGAATCTTTCATGCTCCTGTTTAGGGGAGTCACAGTGTAGTAGAAAGAACACTGCAGGGGGGCAGCTAGGTAGCAAAGTAAAGAGAGCACTGGCCCTGGAGTCAAGAGGACCTGAGTTCAAATCTAGCCTTAGACACTTACTGGTGGACCCTGGGCAAGTCACTTAACCCTGATTGTGTCGAAAGAAAGAAAGAAAGAAAGAAAGAAAGAAAGAAAGAAAGAAAGAAAGAAAGAAAGAAAGAAAGAAAGAAAGAAAGAAAGAAAGAAAGAAAGAAAAAGAAAAAACTGCAGTTGAAGTTGGGCTCTGACACTTATTGGCTGTGTGACCATTGTCAAGTTGCTTAAATTCCCTGAGCATCAATTTCTTCATAGGTAAAATGGGGAAAATCATACTTACACTCATTGTTTTGCAGGGGTTATTTGTGGGGAATGGTCTTTGTAAACCTTAAAGTTCTATAGCATCCACTGTCTTGGATCCCTTGGGCAGTCTGGTAAAGATTGTGACTCCTTTCTCAGAATAATGTCTTTAAATGCATCAACTGAAATAGATAGGATTACAAAAGAAACCAAAGGTTAGTGAAAATAAAGATGCCATTTATTCCTATCATAGAGATGCCCTGAAATCTATTCAGGGTTCCCTTGAGTGGAACTCCAAATTAAGAACCCCTTTACTATGTAAATATGAGTTATTGTCAAATTGTTAGATAGTTTCCTTTCATTCTTCCCTTGTGAAAGATGCCCTAGACATGAAAGGTGCCCACCACCAGCTCCCACACCCCAGTGGTCTATTCTGCTCCCTTCATCTTCTTCCTGTTCTCTTGTCTTTTTTTCCCTCTGTCTCCTTCCTCTTCTAATCTCTCCCATCCAGCCTCCTTCTACCCTTGAGAGCCTATCTGGCCACCTCTCCCAGACCTAGATATCTCAATGAACTGTTGCCCCACGACTACCTTAAGTTCTCTTATCTCTTTCACAGCTGTGTTTTATCGGCACCTGCAAACTGCCTCTCCAGGCCGACTGAAGATGGGAGCCCTAACTGAAGTCAGTTTGCAAACACCACTCCTGCCAGATTCCTAGCTGGATAGCTTTTCTGGGCTCTGTGTGTGTGTGTGTTGAGGGGTACAGAGAGCCTTAGAAGAGTGAGGGAGAAGAAAAAGGACCCCTTAAAATAAGGCAGACCTTACCAGAGTGGGGGTCTTGGTTCTGCCTGCTGAGAATGTGTCACAGTGACTAGAAGCAGAGGGGAGGAAAATCAGCCCTCCCACTACCCATTCTACGTGGCTAGGTGAGAGGGCCACTGGCCCTCTCCTTCTGCCCACTGTATCTGGGATTGCTTTGCTGCCCTCCTGGTCTGGAGGAATCGAACAAGTCTGGCACTAAGGGGCCTTTACATCATGTAAATGTAGACTTTGGCTTATGACTCTGGGCAGGGACTTCCACCAACAAACCAGAAAAGGCCTTGGCAAAGAGGGTTTGCCTTGCTTTGCCCTGGCCCACCCTCCCCGTCTTTAACTCCCTCAAAGCTATACTCAGGTTAAGGATTCAGATCCATATTTTGTGAGGGGGGAAAGGGTGAGGCAACGTTGGGAAGAAATTAGAGGGAGGGTAAATTACAGCTTTGCACATAGTAGGCATTCAATAAAGATTGAATGAATGAATGAATGAGTGATGACTGAATAAATGAATCACTCTTGTTATTGTCTCCTTCAACCTGCAGTCTTCAGATATTCCTTCACTGATATTCTAGTTACATGCATTAAGAAATTGAATTCCCATAGGGCTTTTCCGTTCTCTTTTTTTTTTTTTTCATTTCATTTTGCCACTTGCCCCCAGTCTGCCGGAAGATGACTGATAATCAGCCTTGGTTGGTACATTGACCATACCTCTTCCATTCTCAAAGCCCTCACCCCAGATCTTATTTGGCCCCTACTGAGCAAAACTAGTCCTGTCCTAGTGATTAGGAAAAGGCACCTCTGGGCCATATTCAAGTTAAATAAATAAGCATTTATTATTAGGCATTGTGCTAGGTGCTGCTAATACAATGATGAAGACAAAACAGTCGCTGCCCTCAAGGATCTTATACTCTACTTATGCTCTACCATCTATTTCCCCTTTGGGAGTTCTAAATATCTAACTATTTTCTCCCAAAGAAAGTTCAAAAAGCACGCAAGATCCCTTAAAATCTGGTGTATCACCCTACATTTCTAAATGTGGCTGGGGTCCAGGCAAAGTGTCTCTTCCATGCCCGAGGCACTTTCCTTCTTCCATGTTTGTCTTCAACATTTCCTAAGTTTGGAATGTCCTCTATCTCCCTGTTTCTGTTAGATTTCTACCTATCTTCTACACCTCTTGATTCCAAATGTTCTCAAGTCCTTTTTCATGTATGTGTCTTGTCCTTTCAGTCAGACTAGGACCTCCCTTACACAGGGTCTGTAAGTCTCCCAAACAGACTGGGAGCTCTTCTGAATCCCTCCATTTTCCCACAAGGGGTTCTGTCTGTCAGAGGAAAAGAGCTAAGGTTTGAATGAAGACCAGGCTTGGAAGACTGTGGGCAGCAACAGACATATGGAATACTATTCTCCCCTGGCTGTGGGGAGACTGGGGCACCAGGGAGGTGTTGGGTGCATGGGGAATGCTGTTAGACTCCCAACCAAACACAACAATGGGCCTTAGTGTTTCTACGGGAAGTTCAACCAAATTCTCCAAACACTCGGCTTTCTTCACCCAGTGGCTAGTCATCATCACGCGGTGTTAACACACTTACTCCTTGTTTGTCCTATGCCCCTGTGGGTGTTTTTCCAGAGCGTGGCTTCTAGAGGACAGTTGAATTTGCTTACCATGCCAACCTGCACGTCTGAGAGAGTGAGGAGATCAAGGGTGAATGCAGTTCTAGTTCAGGAGTATCTGAGGTCAACCGGACCAAATGTTGTGCACCAAGTGACCCCCTAAATTTAAAACTCAATTGAATACCCTGATTGGAACTAGATGTGAGAAGAGGGAGAGGAACCCAAATGTTCCCCCACTCCCTTAGCCTTTCCCTGTATTCCTAATGTACAACATAATTATAACTTAAATTTCTATTGAGCTTTGGAGTTTACGAAGTACTTCTTTTGAAATGACCCAGTGAAGTAAGAAGAACTAGTATCGTTTCTAGTATCACTAGTATCATAGAACTAGTATCGTTTCTAGTATCACTAGTATCATAGAACTAGTATCATTTCTAGTATCACTAGTATCATAGAACTAGTATCATTTCTAGTATCACTAGTATCATAGAACTAGTATCATTTCTATAGTATCACTAGTATCATAGAACTAGTATCATCAATTTCTTCACTCATTCATGAATGTGTGATCTCACTGAAGTGGGTCCCCCATCTAATGGTGTAAGCTCCAACTCACCCACATCTTCTCATCCTATGAGACTCTTGTCCATGTGCTCCCATAAAATTTCCACAGAGGATCCACCCGTCAAGCTGGGGTCATTCTTCTGGGTCATTTGACGTTATGTAGGGGCAAGTATAACAAAATCCAGCAGTCTAGCCATCATCCCTTGTTCTCACTATATGACCGACCTGCCGCCATTTCTGGTCATATCATTTTGAAATATTATGTCACTTGCCACTAGATTTCAGATATCTTTCATGTTATTTGCCCGAATCTCATTGCTCATAATATAATGTGCCAATCATTCATTTCTCTTTTGTTTTGTGAGGGACCTGCAATTTCAATTCTTCAAGACTAATAGTGTGCCATGATTCTCAACCATATGATCTCACTGAAAGAATACTGGTGTTAAAAAGATGATTTGGGGCCAGGCCACAGTAGTGTATGCTTTAATCTCTGACTAAGCTGAGGCTGGTGAATGGCTCAACTTGGGAGTGAGCTACAGTTTGCTGAACCAATGGGGTATCCACATTAAGTCTTGCACCAATATGGTAAGCCTTCAAGAGTGGAGGGCTCCCAGGTTGTCTAAGGAGCGGCAAACCTCTTATGCTGATTAGCAATGCTATCAGGCCTGCGAGTAGCCACTGTATGTCCAGCCTTGGTGAGATAGGTAGCTGTTGTTGTGGGCTAGTCACCTTTCAGGTGTGTCTCATTCTTTGTGACCTAATTTGGGGTTTTTGTGGCAAAAATACTGGAGTGGTTTGCCATTTCCTTCTCCAGCTCATTTTACAGATGAGGAAACTGAGGGTCAAGTGATTGGCCCAGGGTCACATAGCTAGCATGAGGCCGGATTTGAACTCATGAAGATAAATCTTCCTGATTCCAAGCGCAGTGCTCTATCTACTATGCCACTGAACTGCCTGAGATAAGTAGATTTAGTCTCAAAGAAAAGGAAAGAAAGACAGAAAGAGAAGGAAAGAAGGAAGGAAGAGAAGGAAGAAAAAAAGGAAGAAAGAAAAAAGAAAGGAAAGAAAGAAAGGAAAGAAGGAAGGAAGAAAAAAGAAAGAGAAAAAAGGAAAGGATGATGGAGGAATATGTATCCAGAAGTTTGGAGTCATTAAAAATGATATATAATTTTGCAAATTCAATCTAACCTGCTTTTTACCTCCTATTCATTTCTGGGCCCTGATCTGTGTCCATCCGTATGTTTATCCAAGTTGACAGACTAGCCCTACTGGCCGGCCCACTCAACTACCTAACTTAGTTTGGACAATAGTGCCTCTTCATCTACTTGTTTTTCCCTGTTCAAATAGACTGAATTTCTGTGAGAGGCTGTGAATCTCATTTAGAAAATTTTGTAGTGTCCTGGAGCTGGATACAATCAGTAGAATGAGATTCACAAATCAGAGTTTCTGGAGGGCTTCACCATCTGTAGCATCATCTTAATCATGAACTTTTGAATGATATTTAACAGTAGTTTAATATAATTTATTTACTTTATAATCCTATATATTTTAACTTATACATTTAAAAACATTTTTCTGAGAAGGGGGTCTACAGGCTTCACCAGACTGCCAAAGGAATCCATGACACACACAAAAATTAAGAAGCCCTCTGTATTAGGAACCTGAATTGGATATTCTTTGTAGCAGTAGCAAACATTCTTGATAAGCATGCATCTCTCCATTTCATACTTTACTTTTAATAGTAATGTTCAGGGATGTTGCCTCTTATCAGTGAAATTTGTATGATTTCAAATGTCAGTGGTGATCCCAACATGTCTTAAATATCTTTAGGACAGCATTTTGCTCTATCAAATCAAATGCTATTTTATAATCAATAAAAAGCACAGTGAGATTTTAAAATGTTCTCTGCCTTTCAGACTGTAAAAATGTAATCTGCTATAAAATGTCATTTGAGAAAACCTGCCTACTCCCTTTTCATACTTTCACCAAAGATGTCCTCAGTGTGTGTAAGCCACTTCCACAAAGATATTATAGAGATGAGAAAGAGGCATGTAATTTGGTAATTATTAATATTTTCTTAATTGCCTTAGTTTGGTAGTACTATGATTTTTTTCTCTCCTCAGGCTTTTGGTAGCATCCCTTCTTGC